TTGTCTAGAACATGATTAGGAATGGACAGATAAGGTACTCTACCACCCAATCCTGTGGAGGCTCGGTGGCCTCATGGTTATTGTGCTTGCCTCCGGATTGAGCAGTCCGGGTTCGAGCCCTGGCCGGGGACATTGTGTTGTGTTCTTGGGCAATATATTTTACTATCACAGTGCCTCTCTCCACTCAGGTGTATAAATTTAATGCTGGGTGGGTAATCCTGTGATGAATTAGCATTCCATCCAGGGGGAGAGGGGCAGTAGAAAAATTCCTAGTTGCTTCATGCTCATGCTAGTTAAGTGATGGCCTGATGGGCCACTTGGCTTGCATGTACATGTAGACTTAATCCTTTTTCTACCTTACCACCCAATTCTAGGAAGTTGGGTGGTATGTTCTGCTATAAAATGATCATTTATTGGAGTGTGACATGCAATTTCAGAACCCTGTCTAGGGTTAGGGGGGTGGGTGGGGGAGAGATGAGGCTTGAATTGTTGTACTAGAATATGAGTAGGGGCTGTGTACAGTATGGCTGGTGTGTGAGATAATGCACTGGAACATGTTACGGGGTTGATGGGTGTTTGGAGTGCTGGACGAGGTATACTAATGTGTTGCTTATTAGGATTAAGAGGGAGCAGGAGGGTGAGATATTTTTCTAGAGCCCTGTCTGGGGTGGGTTGCTCTGGTAGAACATGACTGAGTTTGCCTTTGTTGACGGTTTGGTTCTTCATTGTTAGAAAGAAAATCTTGTGAAAAATTTCCCACTCTCGAATCTTCTACTGGAAACAGATTCACCAGCCCTGGCTGCTGAAAAACAGGTACTCAGATTGTGTCATTAATGTTTGGGATATGAATGTTGCTCACCAGTATCACTTGCTTAGACCTGGTACCCAAAATAAAGAAAGTTGTCTACCCTAGCATTTTATTTTGATGTACCTTTAATTGTCACAACTAAAAGAAAGGTGTATTGTGTATACTCAAACAACAACAATAACAATAACAACAACAACTTTATTGATGTGTTTAGATAAAATAGCCCAGGGTGAAATCCTCTACTCACTGAGGACACCTAAAAGTTAACTTGAAGGAACTATTTTCAGCATTAAAAGTTAAAATTAAGGATCTATTTACAACTGTTAAACATAAACTCATATATTATAAATCATCAGGTTAGAGCAAAGAAATCGTAACTGTGATTCGTATTGGTTTGGATACCTGATCTTGTTACAGATTTTTACAATTTTATATCTCTGTTTAAGCCTTAGGGTTAGATATTAAACACTTCACACAGCATATTTATCAAATTCACCCAAGCCTCTAATTATTTCGTCCAGGGTACTCCATACTGTGTCCTTTCAACCCTCTCTGAATGTTTGACAATGTGACGAAGCAGTGTCTCTGATGTTTGATATGTTGCTTCTTAAATAATTTATTTTTTATTTTTTGGCAGACAAGGAATGAGCCTAAGAACATCTACATCTCATGCAAGGTAATCTCAAGGATTAAAGGAATTCCTATGCAGACAGTTTATGAAGAAACCACAAAAAATGCTCTGAAGTTGTTTCCTAAACTCCACAGATTTATTAGAAAGAGATTTAATAAGCAATCCAGATTAAATTACCAAAATTAGCAAAATTATTTATTAATATGGTGAGTGGAATGTTGCCTGTGAACAGACTTTAGCTGGAAGGGTTTGACAGCGGCTGGAAGGGTCTGACCACGACTGGAAGTGTCTGACAGTGGCTGGTAGGGTCTGACCGTGGTTGGAAGGGTCTGACCATGGCTAGAAGGGCCAAGAAAGAACTGGCTGAGAGTGAAGTGGTTAAGGGGAGAGATGTTCACTGGCTAAATTGAATGGGATTCAGGGAGTGATTGACAAGTAATTTCAAAATTGCCAAGATCATACAGTAATGACAATTATTTAAGAAATAGAAAACAACGAGATATGCTGGGGAAACATGAGCCGACAGGTGAGT